CAAGATCCCACCGCACAAAATTCGAACCAAGGACCTATTTTCCGGAGATCTAGTGGAAAGCCTTGACCAGTAGAGTTCAACTGAGTCCGTTGCAAGATAGTAGCTTACTTATGACAACGGTGGACAGTGGCGAAATTTCATGGATTAGTTGAAGTTAGACATTAACACTGCTGGATGTCAACTCAGTGGTCTACAGGTTAAGTGTTTGCGCGCAAGACTGATAGGTCCTGGGTTCGAATCTCTCTAAGTGGGATCGTGGATGCACATTGTTGAGGAGTTTCACATTAAGATGAAACGTCCGTCTAATGCTTTCAGGTTCTCCATGGTGATTTAGCTTCAATTGACTCATGAATTCAGTTACTAAATAATGATTACAGTCAAATAAATTAGTATATCAAAAATACCACTAAAGTTGACAGAAACTGTTTACAATCCAAATTGATTTTTAATAGAGACACTGAATTGAATTTTTTGGAAAATAAATAGATGAATGACCTTAAACTTAATCATATTCTTATTGTAGTTTAATTATGTAGTTAAAAATGTAAGTAAACCAGTTAATGTTGATGTAAAATAGCATTGGTTGAGGTAGCTTGATTATCTGTCATGTATGTCTAGATATAATGGAACTTGAAGTTGAATGCTAGTTTAAATAGTAGAAGCTTTATTGTTTTATATCTACAGAATTGCACAAATTTATAAACTATTCAATGGGTGATCGGAATAATGTAATGAAATTCTAATATAAACCAACTATTTGAGACGTTTCATTGTATAATCTTAAATTTATTACAGTAGAATATATTGACAAGGTTTAATCACCATTTAATAGAAAGTTTTTAACCGGATCCTTTAGTGACTGATAAATTCAGTGTTTTAAAAAAGTAGAACAGAATAAAGCAATATATTATCCATGTTAATGCAGGTAGGTGAGTAGTTTCAAAGTTCTTAACGAAAATATGTGACTAAAGGTCGAGTATACAAATGAAGGTTTAGTTAATCAGTTTTGCTGGTTGTATTGAAAGTTAAATATTTCTTATATTAGATTTGTAAAGTTATAATGGTTATCTAGAATGTTAACATTAACAGAGTTTTACTGAAATATACTTATTTCAATCTTTTTTGTCCCCAGAAGTATTGTAACCATTGGGAACAACGAGTCCATTTCACAAAACTATTGCAAGGAGAAATATGAGAAAACATTCATTCAAATATCTAACTACTTGAATATTGATATGATTTTGCAACTAGTCAATTTTTGTTGATTGAAATTTCTATGATCAGTCATTTTTTTAAAGATAAAAATGTCTTTCCTTGCTTCTATTCATGTTTAATTCATATTTTCAGATCCTTATAAGCAAACTCCCTTAGTAGACTGGATTTATTAATATGACATTGTGTCCTTCTTTGCCTTAAAAATGTATGCATTTTTTATTCATCTTAAAGAAATGGAACTCAAAAGTGTATCAAAATCGATTTTAAATTGTCGATATCCATTGTTGCATGAAAAAACCAGCTGACGTCTTTCTGAAATCAGACCGGTACTGGATTTTTTATAATTAATTAAATCAAATATTCATTTTGAATCCCATTAATTCTTCACTCTGATGCTAGTCAAAACGAAATTATTTTTATTTATGTGCTGAAAAGGTTTAAATTAGTTGTATGTGTGTCTATTTGAAGACAATTTTTGTCGAAAACTGATATTAACTAACAAACGTTTGATCAATGATTATTTGCATTGGTTTATAGCATCTCAGTGATATGCAGAGAATATCACACATGTAATTATACCTGTAACCATTAGATTTCAATATAATTGTCTAGCTGATCATTATTTGGTGGTCCACACCTAGTACTTCACAGTATAGCGTACTTCACATTAAATGTTTTTAGTTGTTACTTATTAGGCCGGTATTTCAAAACTAGAAGAAAAACTGTGGTGTTTCTAGGTTGATTATTTCGTAAAGTTTGGTCATAAAGTAAACTGTTATGCATAAAAATGTTCTAATATAATAGTTTCACGGAAACTAGATAGATTAACCTCATGTATTCTTGTAAATTAAGGTAATTTAAAATTCATGTACTTACATTTACACAGTTTGTTTGCCATCTTTTTCTAGTTTGTTACAAGGAACTAAATATACTAACATTATCTTGAAATAATAAAATGAACACTCGCTAAGCTGAATGATTGAATATCCGGCTACAACAGCGAGAATGATTTTATTCAACTATAACCTCAAAGAAATATAAAATTTTATGGATGAGTCTACTTTTATCATTTTGTAAATAATTTTAATTAGATGTTATCGATTTGAGTATTTTGACACTTCATATCAATGTATTAAAAGTAAACTAGAGATATTTAACACGGAAGAGTCAAAATAATGATAATAATTGAGATTGAAAATGAACATAGAGATCATAGTTCAAAAGGCATGAATGATGTTGAGAATCGAAATATCTTGACTTATTCAATGCTCAAGCTTTTTGATTTAAATTAATAATGTGAGTATATTTGAACTACCACAGACACTTTTCAGCATTATCGGTTGAAGACTCTAAGTATATATTAGAATTATCTAGTGAATTACAATACTTCTTTACAGAGCTCAATCCAACATTGATTAATTTTATGGATTGATATTGTTTTATAGTTTCTCTGCTCGTATGTTTTTATGCACTTAACACAATCATTAGTAATCATAATAACTGAAATTGTTTTTTTATTCAGTCTTTCAAGTACTGTTTTAATGTTCTGCACTCGTTTTATATAGTGAAGTTTCTAGTTTATGTTAATTAATAAGAAGGAAATTATATTTGTTAATATCATAATAATACAAATAAAAATATTTGAAGAACATCAAGTTAAATGTTTATTTACTACTTATGTAATCGTATACACTTTAAAATCAGTAGTTTCTATAAATTTTCTTACTGGATTTGTAGTTAAATTGACTGAGACTAAAAGGAATGTTAAGTGAGAACTTAACATCTAAAATACTTTAGAACATATGAATGCCTGCTAATTTAAAGTTATTTGTGTGTGTGTTGTTTCATCAGTTGTATCAGAATCAATCAATTTGTCTAGTATTTTTTATATATGAAGTATATAATTTAAAAAAAAATGAAATTTCATAAATATGTAAAGATGATTAATTACAGTTTTGAGAGACATGTAGTTACAATTAGCTCCCTTTGTTACTAACTAACTTACTGTTTATTACTAAATCAAAAAAAGAATTAATTTTTACTGTTTGTTATGAATGTTTAATTGTATCTTGCTCTTGTATCACGTGATATATTGGATTAAAAAAATAAAAAAATTTAACTATTTACTTTAGATATTTTACACTATGCAACTTAACTCTAGATCAACTTTTATAATTAATCAATCAAATTATTATTAGAATGCAATTTTAAGAGAAAAAGAAATATGAGCTACGAAATGGAATTGTTTATTAGAAAGAAGAAAGTATATTGTCAGTTGATTAAAGAAGCATGTATAAATTAGATCAAATGTTTTGATATATGATGAAATTAATTTCATTGGTTCTGAAAATCTATACCATAATCTACGTAGATATGTTTACGATATTCTTTTATATGATTTACAAGGGTAAATAATAAAGCTGATTCCAATTACGTTAAAACATGTAACGACTTAATAAATGTGATATTTATAGTTAAAACGGGATCGTATTACATTTTGTCTTAGCCGTTAAAGTTTTTTGTTTATAAAATGAAGTATTAAAACTTAACATTTTGGATAAAAGTCAACATTTTTGGAGTTGCAAATATATCTTATGAATTTTAAGCAGTAATAGTATACACAAATGATAGTTTCAGAGTATTATAGGAGAGTGGTTTAAATATCGAATAAATTTTTACAGAGTGATGATATAGTGGAAGCGATAAATCAGTCAGGTGTAATGACCTACTTTTATGAAGAGAAGAAGATTGGTGTAATGGAAACATTTATTATTATAGCCAACTGTACCAGTAATTGTTTTATTGTACCTTTTTGTTTAATTGTATCAAAACACACTTTTTCCGTTGGTTGTGACCTTAAACTTACGCAAATATGCACGGTAGTCCCGCCTGTAAACTTTGGCACGGTCTCGGTATTATTTCGATACCACGAGATCATCAACAAATATATCCTAACTACAATCTACAACTATCCTCTTAATATTTATCCTACGGAGGGATTTTACCTGATAAGTGGCACGTAATCGATTTGTAATGGTGATCATAGTCAACTGCGACTCGACACTAATACACAGGTATGTTATCTAATTTTATATAATAATAATATGTCATATATTCCTTGAAAATCGAACTGTTAGACGAGAATTCGACTATCAGTGTAGAGATGAAGTGAATACATTACAATGTTTAGAATAATATTAATTATACAATTTTCGCTCATAAATGCTATGATTTACTGTGAAATATGATAAAGAAATAATGTTACTGATTCATAGTTTAAAGTTCTATTATTTTATAAGGTAAGGTTGGTTTTGTATTGAAATTGTCATAATCATTTATTTTTCAGATGATCTTTGGATATCAATTGCACAAATATAGAATACATTTAAATGCTAGTTGAATTATTCGTTTTTTTGGAATAGTTATATAAACTCACTTATGCTATATAAACTGTGTAGGATTTCAGTAGAACATATTCTATGCAGCAAAACAGCTTTTTATTTTATATTAAAATAGATGGACCTGAAAAACAGACATCTGCATAATTAAACTACTTGAGTTTGCGAGTTTTTTTTTATAAACTAAAAACGTCACCTTCTTTACCATAGATGATAGGTTTATGAATAAGAAGGGCAAAGTAGCTCAGGTGGATGACATCAGAGAACAAAACACCACCAAAAGGGCAAAGTTTCTAGCTTAAACTTGGTGATTTAATGTTCCCTCTAAAAATGTAGTATTTTTTAAAGGGTGAATAAACTTATTATTATCTTTCATTGCACATTTTTGGTAAGCACAAAATTATAAAAGTTGAGAGCGATGCAGTTATTCATATGGTGGATCACTGAATGTTAAAACGAACTTATTGGGAATATGAACTATTGAAAAATGATTCAGTAGCTGATTGATATGATTCCTATTGCTACATATAAATATCCGAATTTATATGCCATATGAAGGTTTGATTGTGCATTACTGGAATAAAAATCAGCTTAGCAAGTTGATAAGCCTAGATTTGTTATGTTACTGTTATACGCCGATGGTTAATTGTTTATCTCAGTTGTTTTTATTAACTAAAGATAAATTAATTTTCGAAATATTTTCTGGCATAACAGCTACGTAGATGAATTTGAGACCAGGAGTTTTTTTATCATTGGGATTATTAGGGTTGTAAATGATCTGTGTTTGTTATGTTGACGAGCTAACTTTCATCATACTATTTTCATAATTTTTTTGTATGGAATTATACAATAATGATAAGAATGTATTTCCAATAATTCTATACATATGTTTTCATCGTTATTTGCTTGATGGTCTTGAGATGGATATCAAATTGATTATTCATTCTTACTAATAAAAACGTATGGGGAATTAAAGATATTTTTGACTGTTTTAAATGTTCAGATGACAGGACTGTTCAATGTAGTTTAAATACGGAGATATGTGAAATGTAACACAAAGGTTATTAAAGATTACAGTGAATTTCTAAAGGTTTTTGCTTCTTATTAGTCAAGGAGGAGTTGTATGAGACTTTCAAAAAAAACCTAATAATCTTATGTCAGATGTACTGGCAATATTAAATTTTATTATCAAAAGAGAAATATACGCTCCCAGTTCTCACCTGCTTGATACTTTTCCGGTTGAGTACAATATTTCAGAATTACGTAGCTAATTTTCTTGATAATCTCGAAATATGAGTGAAGTATGATATGCATAAATGTATATATACAAATATGAGAAGACTTACCCAATTATAAAAATCCCAAAACATCCCGCCCATGTTAATATTCCTGTTTTGTAGGTCACAAGAGTTGTAACATCTTTATGACAGTATGGACACACGGTATTTACTGGATCTGGTCCGGGAACAAAATGTGAGTCGGTGATTACCGGACAAGGCTGTTCCACAACTACTGTATCTAAAAAAGGTTTAAAATTTGTTCATTTTGATTACCAAGTGGATAAAGTAAATAACTGATTGTCATAAGTATAAAGTTTGCTTCTTGATGAGTTCTGTACAAGTGATATCTGAGAAAAATGAGCTCACTATGTTTGTATTTTATGTAGAAGGAGAAATCTTTGGGGAATTAATGTTAAGTGACGAATTATGAATAAGGAACCAATAATTGTTTTTCTTGGTTCTATAGTAAAATACTGGGGACTGTAAAAAATAGAGATCGATGGTTAGAAACATTGATGTGTTTAGTAGGATATTTTAACTGGAAATAGTAAGTCACAGAGGTTATTTTTGCTTCATTGTCTTTAGTTCATATGATAGAATTTCTACAAAAGATCAGATCTACGAATTCATCGGTGAACAAACAAGATTTATTTTGGTAAAGTTTGATAACAGACACTTAACTGAAACATCGGTTTTAGCGTTTCTGTCAAAATTCTTATTTTTATCTTGAGGAGATTGACCGTATTTATGCTCACAAAGTAATTTATAGTCCAGTATAGAATCGTTAGTACAGTAATGTAGTGAAACCCGAAAACTGCTAATAATTTCTTATTTGATTGTACAAGTGTTTATTTCAAGATGCAGAAGTTATGTATGGGCAAAAAGCTTATATGTTGCAGAATGCTGAAGTGTAAATTGATCCCATAATGAATTTCATATCTGTACACACAACTGCCGATTAGTACTGTATCTTGAGTGTGATAAAAAACGCTAATTGTTGGACAGAACAGAAATGATTAAAAAATGTTGTCAGTAGTTATAACGAATAGGAAAATAATTTGAAAATAATAGTCACATTAAACTGAAGTCAAATGTAAAAGCGTGGGAAAAGTTACTAGTCTACTATAAAAAGGAATGATATTTTTGGAACACGTTTGAGAAAATCAGCCCTCATCATTCGTTAGTCATGCATTACTTATGAAAAGTCAGCACAAAATATTCCCTATAACTGCGGTCACTTGTATATATAATCAAGTCATTGTTTTCTGGAGAATTAAGTCTGATTTTAGGCATCTAAGCAAACATAATTTTGTTGTAACTCATCTTCTATCTTTTGTTTCACTTTACTGGCAACATATGGGTATATTAAAGCTGAGAATTGTATGAGCAATACAAGTTTGAATTATGAACGAGACCTGTCATTTTGTAAATTTCATTTATTTATTGATATAAATACATAAATATTGGTAAACGAAGACACACCATGAACAGAAGCACAGCAAAACTCTAGAAACCGAACAGACTACGCGATGAATCTAAATAAAATTTCACTATTTCTACTCAGTCATGAGAAGTCAACAAAGTCCTGATAACAGCATGACGAAGCAATTGTTTTTTCTAGTCTGTGATTAGTTGAGTAAAGTTTGATACATTTGTTCATAGATTAAGGTCCCAAAACCAAATTAGCACAGGAAGATTAAGTTATAAGGCGAATATCAGGACAGAAAAATGATAATTTCAGTGTTATTACAAAAGAATAGGCGTCGAAAATATTATTTAAGGAGAAAGAATGAATTTAACGGGTAAAATGAATGGGACAATTCCTATATTCAACATCAAAAAGGAGACAAAGAATGGATGTTTTGTGCCATAACAACTGGTTATAAGTCATATCACCCAGCGCTTTCAACCGTTGGCCACGATAATTCCAAAAACTACAGTATGGTAATCTACATAAAAAAACATGGCTTAGTCCAAGCATCATTGAATTAATAGAATGAAACCACATCTTGGTCAGAGGGTCATTAACTTTATTTAAACCTGATCCTGAAATGACAAATGTCGAGTGTCGTGGCAAGCAAAGGTTGAGGGTAGGTAATGCATGTCCTGACCGTTCCATTCGAAGAAGGGTTATCGCTTCATCGACTAATTTTTCATGTCTACCTAGTGTCCTGCATCTGACATCGGTATTTTTGAACCAGCGGTTTTAACACACGCAAGCAATTTGCCCAAGGTGTGTATGATGAAATACAAATATTTTGCAAATGATGTATTCACTTCATGGTTCTCAGAATCTACCAGGATATTCTATAAAGTTGCATTAAAATACATTTGTTTGTCCCCACCCGTGTTATCGTTTACAACGCTGGTAACTTACAAATATCCCGTACTACCGAAGACCGTGTTTCATAGACGGACCAGAAAAAGGATATTTTGCGCAGATCAATAATGTTCTGGTTATCATACGGATATCTTCCCCATGTCACAAATGGAATAAATTACTAGAAGCCAAAGTCTTTGATTTAATTCTGTAATTTAACCCAACATCTACTTACTGGGGTTGATGAGATTTCCAAGGCAATTTAAGTGAGGGACTTGGTACGTTATCCTCTATTATTAGTCTATACCTGACTGAGAAAGTCCAATCTTACCGTTTTAATTAATCAGAAAAGAATTAAAGGAAGGTTGATTGACATGTAATCGATAGGAAAAGCAGCTTGGTTTAGAAAAAGTTCAAATATGTCGTACGTGTTTTCATCATATATTCAAGGTCATAACTTGTATTTAATGTGCACATTATGAGGTCTTCACCAAAAGACTCGGGTGTCTTTGATTTAATGAATCTACTCGTCATTTAAAACCAAACAGAAGTTTTGCTGGATAAAATCTTGAAAATAACTATCACTTCATCTTGGAATTTTTTAAATTTCAAACTAAAACCTGATAAAGTTTATATCGTAGAATAGATCTTCTAATAAGCTCCACACGAAATATTTCACGAGACATTACTTTTACAGGCATTTAATTTTACAATATTTCAGTGGCTGGTTGCATCAGTGGAACGTAATTGTACATTGTTTAGATCGGTCAATAAACGCTTGAATAGCTGAGTAAAGGTAGCCCCAACTAACTCATAGCTTTGTCTTAGTCTATGGATAACTTTTAGAGGTAGAATTTTACAAACAGATTTGATTAAGAACTCTCTCAGGGCCTTTAAATATTGACTCAAACAAGTATATGCTGTAGTTTGCTCGTGTTTGTTCGTGTTCTAGTCTTTGAATGAGTTTAACAAATATAAAAGGTGGAATGGTTAATGATTTCTGAAGGATGATAGACTTTTTAGGTAAATAAGAAATCTAACCCAAGTAAGGAATTTGCCTGTTGTTTAAAAACCCACTCTCCCGTTCATAAATATCTAAGCCTGGAGATAAAGTAATTCATTTTGAATCTGACTGTTATTTTACTGAGAAAAAATTATCACCAGTTGGAAATATTAACTCACCTGAAAATGTCTTTTATGTATTTACCATACTTTTCTGTCACCTCAAGAAGAGCAAAATAATAACAATTTTATGAGCCCAAGCAACTTCATTGTTCCACATACACTATAAAATCTGGCATTAGGGATCTAGAAATTATGATTCACTTTGAGAGATTTCTGAATTTTATTTTCTAATTAATAATTCTACGACAGAACACAAAAGCGCAAAGGAGGGGGACTAGCTCTATTCATTAGGAATGCTATCCCATTTGCCATTATCGTTAGTGTATCCAATGAGAGTGGGACGTGTGAATTAGTTAGTTGCCGCCTGAAATGCAAGGGACAAGAGCTGCTGATTGGTTTGGTCTATCGCAGTCCAAGCTGTGAGGCAAATGAGATCCTGTTAAGCAGTCTCAATACTTGGTCCCAAATTGGTCGATGTCTAATCCTAGGGGACTTCAATGCACCTATGGTAGACTGGGAAAATCTGCGAACTAAATCGTCGGAGAATTCCTTCGAGCAGGAACTAGTTGATGGGGTTATCACATGTGCCCTAGTGCAACATGTGAAAGAAGCGACAAGGTACGATCTGGACACTGAATCATCCTTATTAGATCTTATACTGACTCACTATGAGGATGATGCTGCAAACCTCCATCATATACCACCCCTAGGTAAAAGTGATCACGAAGTTTTAACTTTCGACTTCCATATAACTGCCAGTCACGAGCACGCGTCAGTCGAGTCCAGACCCAACGTCTGGAAAGCAAACATACCAGACATCATGCACTCAGCATCGTTAATAGATTGGACAATAGACTCAGATTCCTCAATTGAAACGGCTTGGGACGCATTTCGAAATTCATACTTAAAAGTTACCACACCCCACATCCCTTGGACTATACCAAAGGGCCCGAAAAACTGACCACCATGGTTCAGTAGGGAGGTCCGTATCCTTCTTCGTAAGAAAATGAAAATGTGGGATAGATTTAGGTTACTGGGGACTGATGAGTCAAAATCTCAGTATCGAAAGGCTCGGAATACTTGTGCCTCGACCCTCCGTAAGTCTAGAAAATTGTACGAAGGAAAACTTGTTAAGGAATCCATAGAATGTCCTAAACGCTTGTATCCCTATATAAACCAAAGGACAAGGAGAAAAGGAAATACTCCTGCACTATGGGGAGACAGTACTGCTTCATCATTAGTGGAGGACGACTTTGGTAAGGCTCAAGTGTTCTCGAACTACTTTAGCAACGTATATACCATAGAAGCGCCCTTCCCGTCAGCGTATACAGATCCCCCCATACATACACTGGATAGCGTGACCATTAAAGAACTCGATGTCTTTGGTCTGCTAAATAAGCTTGACATAGGTAAATCCATGGGGCCCGATGAATTACATCCTAGGCTACTGAAGGAATTATCTAACTTCGTTGCAAGCCCTTTAAGTACATGCTTTAACCTTTCCGTTACGCAGGGTTGTTTACCAAAAGACTGGAAAAACGCCATAGTAAGTCCTGTCTTCAAAACAGGTACGAAACACAAAACTGAGAACTACCGCCCCGTTAGCCTAACTAGTGTGGTTGTTAAACCTTAGAAAAGATTATTCGGAAGGAGCTGTTTAAGTACCTTAATGAAAACCGGATTCTTTCGGAGAAGCAGCACGGTTTCAAAGTAGGTTATATTTATCTCACTAACTTATTAGTGGCTCGTGAAAGCTGTTGCGCTCTTAAGGACCGAAAGCTACCTGTAGACGTCGCCCTCATTGATTTCAGTAAAGCTTTTGACAAAGTTCCGCACAACCGGCTGTTAAGAATGTCGGGATTGAAGGCAATCTATTGATGTGGGTAAAAGACCTCTTAGTTGGGCGTCAACAAAGAGTAAGGGTGAACTCAAAGTTATCTAGCTGGGAAACTGTGCTTAGTGGAGTGCCCCAGGGTACAGTTTTGGGGCCAGTGCTATTCCTCTTGTATGTAAATGACATTCCTCGTCTCCTATCATCATCGGTCTTGCTATATGCTGACGATGTCAAGATATGGAGAACGATACGATGTGAAGGTGATAGCTTAGAACTTCAAAATGACCTGAAGAAGTTATCTGAATGGTCTCAAACATGGCAGTTGCTGATAAATACTTCCAAGTGTGTTGTGATGCATATCGGTCATCAAGGCACAGATACATACACGATGAATAACACTGAGCTACCAGTCGTCCAGACATATAATGACTTAGGAGTTATCGTTAGTCAAGACTTAAAGACTACTGCACACTGCCGTGCAATAGCCGCCAAAGGTTTTAGAACCTTATGGTCAATACGTAGAGCTTTTAGTCATGTCGACGCTAAAACGTTTTTGACTTTGTATACAGTGTTCGTTCGCCCTAAACTTGAGTACTGCATACAAGCGGCTAGCCCCTGCTTAAAAAAAGACAGTGAGCTTCTGGAAAAGGTTCAGAGAACGGCGACTAAGCTGATTCCCGGAATAGCGAAGCTTACGTATGAATCTCGACTGGCTAAGCTGAACCTATTCCCGTTGTCATATCGCAGAACTAGAGGCGACTTGATTACAGTCTACAAATTGCTTAGTGATAAATTTGCACCCAATATGCCCTCATTTTTCTTGTCTTCCAAAACAGGGAATTTACGAGGACATTCCAAAAAAGTTCATAAGCCGAGAACAAATTACTTGTCAGCTGACTATCGACTTTCCCATCGAATCATCAACGAGTGAAATTCACCACCTCAGCACGTGGTTGAGGCTCCATCCGTCGACTCTTTCAAGAGAAAGTTGGATCAACTGAGAGACCACCATTGCCAGGACTAACATAGGCCATCAAGCCTCCTGTCCTTCCCAAAATGAAACTGAAACTGTTTTACGGCATTTACAAGACCATAAACTGTAGCGAAGCTTTTGGAATGTAGATAAAAGGTACTACCCTATGTTTTTTGTGTTGGGGTATTTCATGTGTTGAATTTATTATTTCACTTTTGAGTAGCTTTCAAATCTTTGTTGACAAATGTGCTCTAAATATTTGAAATATCATATTATTTATCTTGATGATACATAATTCATGGTTGGATGTGGCAATTTCAACACCACGATACTATAGTTAGGATACACAGAATGCAAACAAGATGGGAGACCACAGTGTTCTGAAGAAACAAATATGTTGATAGGAGGAATAGACTGTTGAACTGAGGATTACCAAACTGATGATATAGATGTAGAGAGGTGTATCACATAAACTGGTCGCAGATATGTTCTTTATACTTAAACAAGTGCTCTTATATCGTATTAAAGCTCAAAAGACTGACGTTGACGCTAGATAGAACGAATCATTAAAGGCTTTGTGATCTGTCGCAACCATTCCGAAAAACAATAATGATAGTCAACATCAAAATTTGGACGAAAATGGCAATTATTACAATCTGACCATGATCGATATGTCTTTTTAAATAAACAGGAGGTAAAAACTACAACATTTTCATGCCCATCGGGTTCTGATTTGAAATATTTGAGTAACATCCAGTTATATCACTTACTCCAATAATTCTAAGGGTGAAATCTTAAGAGTTTAATTATCGAAAGACAATCACGAACTTTAAATATATTGTCAGAGACGTGTATTGTACCACAATGACCAGAAACACAAAAAGAAATTCAAGCAGTTTTTTGTAAGGAGGCTGTACGCTATTGGCGAACCAATCAGACCTAAGTTAACGACACATGGATTTCGGCGCGAAATTCATAGATCACTATGACTAAATTACATTTTGGCAACATAGCTGATGTTGATCCGCGATGAAACACCTAATTTCAGTTCCTTATATTATTTTACGGCCTTAGCTTTTAGTCATGATTCCTCATACTAATTTATAACCATATTTTGATCACATTATTTCGTTGAGAATTTTCAATGTCACTTCAGTCATTTACAGAGGCAGTCCACAAATTATAGACTAGCCTGAATAAAAACTTCGGAATATTTCTAAACTTAGCCTGATCAAAATAGTACTGGTTAGTCCAAACACAAACAACTGTTCTTACCAGGATATTGGGGGGGATATGGTTGTGGGAGACCGTCGAGATCCGGAGACTTTGGATATGGTGGGTCCGCTTTGTCTTAATTCAGTTATATTTTGGTCGAATTTTGTCTTACCAGCACTCATTTTGAAAGACAATTATTGAAAGCAGTTCAACTAGTACACTCTCGCGATAGGTGGTACGCTTTTTGAATTTCCAAAAGCCACGTGACCTTCTACTGAATGATTAAAAAATATGGTGAACAATCATTTCAAGTGATTGTGTCAAAAACTGAGCTTCAGAACAATGTTTTTACGGTCTAGTAGTCAAAGGTCACTAGTATCTCAGAAAAGACAGATATGTATTAATATGGTTTTAACAGGTCAGTGTAGAGATCGTTAAAAAAATATAAGTTCTTCTTTCAAAAGATGTTTCTGAGAGATCATTAGGAGAAATACGGCCTAAAATTTGATGGTCAAGTAGAGGTACGCTAATTTTAAGGTCAAATAAGTATTCTAACTGTCATTCAGTCACAACAGAATATCCAAGACAGAATATCCTAGTTTTAGTGTGCGTTGCTCTGATATATGCTAGGTCATTTCCGTGATGTTTTTTGTAGCATATATTAAAAACAAATTGTTCCTCATAAGTTGTCTCTGAAATAAAGGTGTTGGCTTTTAAATTTCAAAGTTATAAGTCTTTGGGATGATATTTATAAAGAAAATATTCCCTAATATCTAGGATCAGTGTAAGAGATCCGTGTTGGTTTTGTTTATGATCCCATACCACGGTATACACGTTAAGTGATTTTTGATGTAGCAGATAAAAATAAATTCACGTCGTGATCCGTTTATTCGTTTGAAATGCTTACACATAGATACATTGATGCAAGTCAACAGTATTTTATGGGGTCGTTTAATGTAATATAATAGATAAGCTCTCGAATACCCAGTAATAACTCTGAGTCAAACAAAAGCTTATATATTACTTGTTGAGTGTCCTTTTCTTTTGGAAAGTAATCACCTCCATCACTTTTAGCGCTTTTAAAATTTTCTCCTCAGTTCACGCTAACCACTTCGAGCAAATCGAAGAATTTTAACTAAATATGTGTTCTGCTAATTCTTTTTAAGTGTTTGATCTGGCGACAGCGTTATTTCTTGAGTTCTTCCTGATCTGTATGTTAAGGATCATATGGTGGTTGGAGGTAGTCAACAGGAAACCCTGGACCCGGGTTTCGTGCTACTTGGCACTCGCAAGCAAGGTGTACCTGTAATCTTGGGGGAACTGGTGCTCCCTGGCGGATTCGATATCGTGTCACCCAGCTTCACAGTCAGAGACGTTACCACTGAGCTATCCGAGCCGTGACTAACCTCCTGCAGGACTGAGATGTAGTCACACTAATAAGGACTAGACAAGCATGAGATTGATCACCACCCAGTGATCAATCAATTGTGGTTAAGTATTATACAAGACTCATTTGTTTCTTCATTTCACAATATTTGTCGATCAAACATTCATAACTTGACTGTCGTTAAAATTTCTCCAGGGACTTAATTTTCACTGGACTTAATGTTTCGGTGTTGAGCGGTTTACCATTATCGTTCTCTAGCTATCTGCTGGAAGGGATTATTAGTACACTAGATTTTTGAAGATGGACGTTTAGCCCACTTTTTGTGAATATAAGATAATCGTTTCTAACGTTCGGGTAAAATGAAAGAAACTTGGCCAACTTCGTGTTCATCAGAGGGACGCTAATTTGGCGCCTGGTGCTTTATCAAGTAGCGTTATTATTTTTTCGATGCAACAAAAATACATTAACTTAGAAGACATAATATTGTCATGAGTACATACCTATCTCCACTAGAAAATTGATGTCGGTTATTTCTCAGGAAAAATTGTTCTCCTCTGGTTACCCTATTGCATGCAATTTCCAAACTAGTACGAGCTGATCTTTAGTTCGAGTAATCCATAGAACGAGAGTATTTGACTGTGACTATTCTTTACCACACACGCAGCTGGTATTTTTCGTGTCTACAAATATGACTACGAATATGGAGGTGGGATAATGCTTACACTCGTTATCACGAAGGTAAAATCACCCTTTACACAACAATCTCTCAGGGAAGCTTCTTAAGCCTGATCAAAGGCTTGATACGTCTGGATGGTCAATGTACTCCCCCTTCATTTACGCTATTTACACATATAATCACAGCGAAAAGTCGTTTCAAGAGATGGGTGATAGCAGGCTCTAGCCAAAATGTCTCCACACTAAAATCGCTGAAGTATTTGTTGAGAAATAAACCACTAGTTGAAATCTCCAGTCACCAATCGATTCATATCAATACAGTCGCTTGTTACCTAGTAGCTTATATTTCAGTGCACTACTCCTTTCTGGAGCTGGGAGTTCCTTATTGTAAAAGAGAGATGTACTGACTCTAACTTTCGTCCGCATGCAGTCTGCTGTGTACGAAAATCGATCGATGAGACAAAATAAATAGCCACTCATAATTCGTTAGCTATCACCAACAAACGATGAAATAATTAAAACCAGTTCCCTAAGAAATCATTACTCGTCAAAAGCAAGTTCGAAAAAACTTAGTATTAGATTCGCTTTTCCGTTTTGGAGCAAGTTAAAAAGCCCCTAATACCATCAACCAAAGGTTTCTACAATGTAACATGGCGTCTGGAAAAAGAATTTTTCATCGGTCAAAGTGAGGGGGAGTTTATCTCTACTGACAGATGGAGACCAGCTTTGAATGATAATCAACAGCATAAGCAAGTTTGATCCTCTGTCATGAAACTTCAGGCAGAAATCGGCACACTCATAGTCCTGATCGTATGAACTGTCTCAGGAGAATTGCAAAACAATATGAATGTTTATTTTTTAGTCATTTCACTAGGAAGCAAAGGGGTGGTTCTTTGTAACACAGCTCACATGCATAAATTTACTCATTCTTCTTAACAATATGGTATGTTTCGTTTTAGGTACGAATGCTGAATTCGATGAATCGCTATTACTCACAATCTACACAGATTTTTTAACGATTGCTCAGTAAGACGCGAGTGTTTTTGGTGACTAGTATTTCTTTGTTTTTTGTCAAGGAACACTTTTCCTAAAGCTCTTTTGATAATTTTTGCTAATTTGAACCCTTTGTTTTGTTCCTAAGCTATTCTGGTAACCCGCAAGCTACAACTACGCAGCGACCTGAACACGAGAGAGAAGTCGCAAATTAAGCGAAAAGCACTTTACTCCGAAATTTCATTCCTGTACAGAAAAACAAGGGTATTTATAGACTATTAGCATTTGTCAAATCGACATTATACTTTGACTAATCCGCTAAGAGACATTATGCTACTGACCATTAGTAGTATACCACGTTGATACTCTAGAAAGCTTCCTCAAGCTCTGACTGGCTGAAGCTCTTCAGCTCCATTGGGGTCTCTGGAGGCTCCGTTGTAGTTCTTGGAAGCCGACTCAACATCTTTTAAAATTCTTAGTCTAAGCTTGTCAATTGATAAAGTAATATTGAAAAGTGATACTAGAAAGCCAAATATGAATGTTCATGGGAGAGCTCATTTTGGACGCAAACAGGAATCAATTCGTATTTATCACCTAATAGGAATTATGTATAGATGTAGATGAATGAGAGTATTTATATTAGGATTCTGTGTTATTTCCTTGACGCTACAAAAAGTATTTAGTTCGCAAACCAACATAGGGCACTTAGTTGAAGCACTGGGTTTAATGCTATGGTGTACGTGACAAAATACCAAATAAAATAAGACCAAGCTAAGGATAACTTATGAACTAATTAATTATCAAAGGTTCAGTAGGATGTTTAAGAGTATATAAAATTAGACCATTACAATACTGTCAGTCAGTAGTGATATTATTATGCTGATTTACTCCTAATAATAGTGAATATATATTTAGTGTGTACAAATGACTTATTAGCAACCATTATGGTGCTCGAAATTTTATGTGAAACGGTAAGACGGTACATAATATAACGTAGTTTTCTAGTAGATACTGGTTACGCTGATCTATAACTTTAGGTCACCTGTGGAAAATTCTCGTCGTTACGTGTCAGTCTTTATCTACGGTGAAAATGTTTAACCACCCTGTCAGCACGAGGATGATATGTTGTTAGAGTCTGGGAGTTAAGCTCAAATCCGAATCGGGTTTCTCCACCAGTTATTATTTTGAAAGATGTGCCCATAAGTATCATGATTAAATCTTTTGATGATTCACCTTTTTGTGTATGGTGCATAGTACGTGGTCCAGTTGGGAGACCTCTTCCATTATTCTATTTTCAATACGGGCTGAATGAGATAAAGTGTCCGAATCGTGAACATCTAAATAGTGGTGAATGTAACATGGAAGAGCTTATATTCATTTTTTAGGGCTATACCAACGACTGTGTTGTCTCCCACTAAGACTTGGAGGTGACGCAAAAGCTGTGATGGTGATTTATCACCTAAAGTTTTTACTTAGAAAAGACTTCGGATTCTTTGACCGTCTGGCAAAGAGAGATGGTTCATTATATCTCGTCTTAAAATGCTGTATGGTTGTGATGTTGGTGAAATCAAAATTGAGTCGCGTTTTTCTCTGGTGGCTGAAATAGGGAAGACATAGTATCGTTTTCATACAATGTGATAATAAACAGTCTAAATATTTAGTGTACAAATAGAGGACAAAATATAACGACGAGTGTATTCTGACTAAAGAACACTGATATTACGAATTAATATTTTCAACTTTGTTGAGCGAAAATTGTTTGCATTGTAATTCTAAAGGTATGCGTCGGTGGTGTAAGCGTTAGTTATTGATGATAAGATTACGTTTTCCAATATATCTGTATGATACATATAGTTAATGGAAAGGACGTACTAACTAGGAATTCCCGAAACAGAGCAATTTAAATCACATAGAACTAGATGAGCACAGACGAACGTATCGTATCTGGAATTCGTAAGAGCGAAGAAATGTATTGGGAAACTTAATTTAGCATTTAACGGAAACGAGACAGCCATTAAATATTCCCCAGTTAAGAATGCTTCTTTAATAGTTGCCAGTAGATGAAGGAAAACACCTTCGAACAGTACGAATTTCTCCACAAAACTTTAAAGATTGTGTATATATTGCTTTTCTGGTGATACTCAATTTACAGAAAAATGGTAAATTATTGGAATGCCAAAAAAATATGCAAAAGAAGGTCTTTCGCCGTGTAGTGTCTAGAACTTACTCATAGCTTTGTAACAAACACAGGTTTCATCTTAAACATTGAAAATGTTTTGATAATGCACAAATGTAATATTCTATTATATCAACAACAGGGGATTGTTTTATCTAGTATACATCACCAGAAGTAAGAGACTTAAATTTCTATCAGGTGACAAACCATCAAAGTTTGAACATATTTATCATCATATGAGAATTAGAAGTATTAGCACGAAATCCTCGAAATAGTGATGTTTACAGAGAGTAGGGCTAGACGAGCACAAATGAACGTAGTGTATTTGGCATTCATAATAGGCGGGGAATCAATTTTAAATGTTTTAACAAACGTGCTAATGAACTACCTCTAACTCACCATTATTGAACTTTGCTTTAAATAACGTAGTATAACGTCTTTCTAACGAAGTATGAAGTTAATTATTCTAGCCTTGTATGTTAACCACAATAAATATTTGATGGTAATAATTAATGTTTGGAGGAATGTTATGTCGCAGTATTTTGTTAGCGATTAAATTTACTTTGCACATAGAGATTGTCACAGGATTTTCATAAATTGTTTGTAGATATAATCATAGGTTATAAGTAAGACAGTTTTATTAAGTATCCTCTTTATTTCTATGCAAATTTACTATTTATAACAGGTGAATTGTATAGGTTGAGACTGATGGTGAATCCATTTTGTCAGCTGGAAAGTAGCACGTTTTTGCTATTAATCCACCACAGTTTTTCGAATAATCAAACTTTCATATTGTTATTAGAGTGCCATGGTCTAAAGTTTCTTACATACATTTCATCTGATTTGTTAATCGGCACTTAAGTTTGTAACAAATACGAAAGTACGTCGACATTCTGTAAATCCAAATGACCAAATAGTTAAATTCATTTGGACTGAGTATCATTTGCCTCCCTAAATGTTACTTTTCTCCTGAATAATCGTTTATTTTGTTCTTGGTCTGTTGATAGTAAAGAAATCATAATTACATTAACCATGACTTACATTTTCCCTAAAATGTGATATATATACGCAAAATGAAACACTAGTTTTCTGAAATACCTTGTCCACAATCTGCTAGCCACTATACATATTTGCTTATAAAGCTTGCGAATTAAGACAATATCGAGGCAATACGCATAGTGTGCACATATGCCAATAACAGGCTGATCAATTTCAGTCTTAAGCCTCAATGAGAAGATTCAAGCAAACAATACCAAGTGAATGTCATGGTTTGTTGTGATTAAAAAAATTGTTTGTAACTCTCGAATTCTATTCAAATCACTTAAGAAATGAAGGATCCAAACGAATGACAATATGTGAACATCAAAATGAATACAAATTGTTACGTTGATTAATCTTAATCTTCAAAGCAATTGATTCTAATATCTTCTTTCTATGGTGGTAAGTAATATGATGATTGCTTGATAACAGTACCTGGATTAGATGACATAAGTTTGTTTTTCCCATTCTACTGATTTAAAATAAGTAGATTTGATTAATCTCAAGATTTCTTATTTTTGTTTAATTTCCTATTGAATAACTTCATTTGATAATTTATTATATTTGTTGTTGATAGTAAAAGAAATTTTTGTTTAGTTTTCTTTTTGAGTTATGCTGTTAAATAGATGTACTTGCAGTCCAGTTTTGATGTTGATGTCCATTGAACAAATTAACAACTATCTGAACTCAGTAGCTCAGTGAATAAAGCGTTGGGTGTTTGAGGCAAACGGTACTAGGTACCAATCATGGTAAGAATACCAATAGTTGAATGCATGCACATCTAGCTAATTGGCTTTGAACAGGATGGAACTTACGTGATGGAATTCACTGATAGCTAAAATACTTCGATTACTCATAATGTGTAATAATTTATTTTAAACAATGGTTCAGCTAATTAAAGAATATAATTAAAGAAATATCGTGTACTCTATTATAAGAATGCTTCTATTCAAAGTATATTAATCATTATCTATTTATTGTACACATGTTTTGTTTTTTTGTTAATTTAAAGTATGTAGAAATATTTATATTATCAACTTTGCTATTTCGAGTCAATGTGTGTAGATCCAGTTATTTACTAGTTACTAATTATGGGTATTTTGTCTTAGAAACTGACATTAAATAGAACAAAATAATGACACGTATTTCTGTCTGAGAGTGTCACAAAGAATTTACAACAAAAATAGTAACCTAGTCTATAAAAATTCAAACGTACAGTTTGTTGATGATGGTCATGTTACTGACATTTTTAATATTTGCAAATAAAATCACGAGCCATTCTAGGCTAGACCTCCATTGGAAACGTGGAAGCAATCGACGGTTTCTTCGTTCTAGTACGGAACTCCTCAGTACTACGCACCCATAATTCCACAAGTGAGACTCGAACCTAGGACACTTGATCCCGGACACAAACGCTTAACATCTGGACCACTGGGTTTGCATCTAACAATCCAAATGTCTAACTTCAATCAATTCATGATCTTGCACAACCCTTCATCCATTGGTTGTGGTGGATAACACTCGGTATGGATGGAAATTGATTGTTCACGGTGTCTGATTACCACTCCTGAAGTTACATCTTCATGCTAGTCACTATTGAGCACATTTTTAATTTGTTAACAAATCACTAATGAACGTAGACATACGAATTATCCCTAGCTTTTATTAACAAAACAAAAAATACAAACCTAATAATTCATCTCAATCACTAGCACAGCCTAACCAAAACTAAGGGAGTTGAAAATATGCGAGTTATCTCGTTTCTTTAATCTCGTAGCCACTATTGACACAATTCATTCCGAGTGACAGATATTAGCTGATGCTCTGATTTTTACCTACTAATATTCATGAAGAGCAACTGTTCTGTAGAAAGGTTTTCAAGTGTTAGAAAAGGTAAGGTTGTTATATATTGCACTTAATAGATGAAAATTTCCGAAAAATTTTTCAAAATGCACAATACCTGGAAATTTTCAAGATTTCCTCTCTATTAAATTTAAAATTCATTGTGCTAAATGTTTTTGAAAAGAACACTTACATTTAGTCAGACATCTTGTTTAATGGTACATTTAGTCGTCAATGTGTTGATGGGATATTTAGATATTTGCTTTTGCAAGGATTCAAGCAATGGGATAAATTAATAGTATCTGAGACATCAACAAGTATTTTCTGCTCCAGTCTAAATATTTACCAAAATATGAATTTCTATGTATCAGTAAACTAAGAGAATAATAGTATTAATGTAACTGACAAAAGGCAATCGATTGTAGCGAAATAATTATCCCGATTATGTCAGGCGTGATGCTCATCTGGTGATAACTATTGAGACTTAACGGCGAATATCTGGTCAAATAACCTAATATTCAATTTTCAATTTACGTAGTTAGTATTATCTTACCATGTTAATCAGGGCAATGGTATTTTAATTATATTCAAATAATCACTTGAGTGTGAAAGTGATTCCATTGATATAGAGCAACTGTGCTTAAAGTTTGATGATTCGGCTGAACACTCCACATCCAGTGAGCACTAATGGAGTTGCTGCAACCACTTATTTAGCAATATGAAGGTATGATTGTTGTAAAAGATACTGTTAAGTACTGTACTATTGGTAATAGAACAAAATAATATCATCATTGTAGGTTAAATGACAAATCAAGTAATTATAATAGGAGAAAAACTAAGAGGTACTTTTATTCATTGGTTACTTGGAGGCAGTATATAGGAAGCCATGGACTAAGGTTTCATGCAAGCTAAAATGTCAGTGAATAGCCTTTCGAACCTTGGGGGAACTAATAGTTAGTGAGGAAAGCAAACCCTCTCTACCCTATATTTCTGTCAATGAAGTTAGCACTGAGCTATTTCGGCCGCAACTGATTCACTGTTGGACTCAGTGAGTAAACTGTTTCATAACCTAATGGTAATTGTCATCTTAGTACCTAGATCTCAGAGACATTCAAATTCTATCAACTACGTTGTCATGTAACCACTAATAGAAGTGACGACTATCGGCTATACCAAAATGATATTATAAGGCTACCTGCTGCTCATAGTAACAAACTAATATCACACGGAGAGCATCCCAATCATGACTCACTTAAGCCAAAAGACAAATTGCAAATTGACTGATAGAATTTAGTCTTCCATGAGAATCAAACAGCAAGGATTTGGTTACTCCTAAGTGACTATTTTGTTTAGATCTGTCAATATCTTAATAGTATGTACACTTTCATGCTATTTTATCTAAGGAATACTTGCCTTCTGTTGATTTGAAAAAAATCCGGTTCTATCGTATGTGTAAGAAGATTTTTAAAGAGTATTTCAATTCAGTAAAAAATATGTAGTTGATATCACAAAGTGAGTTTTACTTTTAAAAGCTAGAATAGCTAAAACAACTTTTATGCTATTGTATTAGTTATTTCTAAGTCGTACATTTACGACTACCCAGAAGCGTACATTTTAGTAGCATTAGATGTATCGAGAGCCATGTATATTTAAAAGGTCCAAAATTTGCGTTTATTTCTATTGTTGAATATAATACACAATAGTTGAGTTTCGGGTATCAATTGGATTTCTTAAAGTCTTCAGTTATAAGTACTAGCAAGAATAAATTGAATAAAGAGAACTCCATGTGAAGTTCAACAGATTCATCTTCCTAAGCAAACAATTTTTATCTCATTTATTTCGTCTATTTTATTTATTTTTGAGTACAGTTTCTAATGTATAAAGCTATTCAATATACAGAGAATAAGAATAAATTTGAATTTAGAACGGTTATACACAATATGACATTTCATTATGAAATCAAACAGTAACAAAGCATTACAAATATAGTATTCATATTACCAGGCTGGGTAACCTTCTCATTCTACTATGAAATCATCAATCATGTACTTTGAATGTGAGTTTGGATCAATATTTAAAACTGATTTGACTACAGTAAATCTCTAAAATAATCACATCATTGATGATATACCTTGATGTGATGTAATATGTTATGCGGCATATTATTTATTTAGTAAATGAAACCTAAAATGCTGGGCTTGAATTTCTACATACACTCTAGTACAGATACGTATCAATGATTTTTTTCGTATTTGTGAAAGTATAACTAATGATACAGAGATTATAAGACTTGTAAGTAAACTCGTATTATAAAATGATATCAACTTGGAAACCGAATTGATACCTAGTTGTGTATTCTTATTTCTTCTGCTTTCGTTACATCACATCATTCCGAAAAGACATCGCTTTCATCTCAATGTAATGACATCAAATACTTTACGTTTTAAAAACTGACATACATGGTTGTCTACTAGTTTTGAAATGTAGTTCGGTACTTTATATTCTGATTCAAACTGTTTCTTAACATAGTTTTGCTGATTATTGATGAATAGTTCTGACAAGACTGATAGGTCCTGATTTCGAATCTCATGGAGCGCGATCGTGGATGTACACTGCTGAGTAGTCTTATACTAGGATGAAGCGGCCGTCCAATGCTTCAAGGTTTTCCATGGTGGTCTAGCTTCAATGAACTCATAATTTCAATTATTAAATTACTACAATCTTCACAAAACCCCTCAATGCTCAAGATCTATTTAGCTTTTTTGTATAAAATCTTTCATCAACTTTGTAAAATATTATCGACTATAAATAGAATTAATCGCAAACTTTAAACACCCACATTCTACGACCTAGAGTAAAAAAACAAACAAAACATATGCATTTTGTTACATAATAATAGTAATAATAAAAATAATCAAATAATGTTACTAAAAAAACATCAGCGTATCACACATGATCTAGTTATATTTTATCTAATAGTAAATCATAATTGATCCATTGAATATACAACATATACAACTATATAAGCATACAAATGAGATTTATTTAAAAGTATTCTCAACAATATAAATACTTCTCACTAAGAATAAAACGTATTGAGTGAGTACTTTGTAAACAATCGAAATATAAACATTTTGAAAGATAAATTTTAAAGGAATATTTTAATATTTATACATTATATTATACAAAAATATGCCATCTAAAAAACAAGTTGATGAATTATTGAAAATGTTTCATGATATAGATAGAAATAAAGATGGTTATATTTCAAGAACAGAATTATTCACAAAGGTTGGCACTAAATCTCCAGATCGACAGAAAGTTCATGTAAGTTAATTGTTAAAATATTATATTATTGTTTTAAGTATTTAATAATTTCAATGGTTAATATCATGAGTCAGTTGAAGCTAGACCACCATGGAAAACCTGGAAGCACTGGACGACCGTTTCTTCCTATTTTGAGACTCCTCAGCAGTGCGCGTTCACGAGTTAGTAATTTTCTATAGTTATTATAGTTGAAAAAGAATCAGATTCGATCGAATCACATGTGGATCACTAATTTCAATGCTTATTATGCTGGAAAGTTACAGATAATTTTATTTACTTTTTTACTACACCGGATAATCTAACGGATACTATGCTTCCATTGTCATCCTATTAGGCATAAACATAAAGAATAATTGATTGGTTGTTATATAAGTTATCCAGAGTTAAACATATCCGATCTGGTGATTTACGTTGATTGGTCATTAAGTGAACATTAGCCAACGTAATCATTATTTAGTCCTTAGCGTTGATCTCATCCTATTGTTTAAGCTTAAATGTAGACACTAGTCTTATTGATTCAGCACTACACATACTTTATTTCAACGTTAGCTGGCCAGAAATAGTTGACGGAAAACTCAGGTTCTATGTTTCATGCTAGTTGTGCGACTAGGAGGTCTAGGTCCGAATGTACTTTAGTGTATCAGTTCTCTTAACATTACAGACACATCTTGTTGCCGAGAGGCAATTAGGACAAAATATAAATCGTGTTCACTTCTACCTACCTCCAACGAAATAATAATAACACGATGGTAAAGAACGAAGTTCAAACAAATTAATAGTTGGTTTTTGACGTGTAATAAGTTTGTTTATTTTATTCATAGTTAGAAGCATTTCATTTCTTTTTAGGCTACTTTGAGTGGAGTTAAGTAATAAAGCTAATCCTCACATCTCATTTTATAATTCTTTATTTTCGCTTAATTAAATATATGAATTCTTTTAAAATAAACAAAAGTTTGTTATCAATCACGATTAGTAAAACTGTGTTCAATCCATACACTCTATTTGTTACATCTTTATACTGTGGTTTTAGTCAACCTTTTTATAATTTGTGTTATAGTATGAAAGTCATTTATCAAGCGTATTTATATGTTTGTGAATAAAATCTATATGAACAATGAAATTACGGTCTTATTCCTTTCAAATCTCATGAGAAAACATACTAGATGAAAAATCTTCATTTACAAAATTATCCAGAATAACTTAGTGATAGTATCTTGAATAATAAAACGACTTGATTTAAATGCAGATTTCAATGAGAACAGCAATTTTCTCAATACGACAGACTGACCATAATTGAAAGTAATTCGCAAGAAAAAAATGATGTCCAGTATTCTATGCAAAATACCTTCCACTAATTAATATACCACTTTTCTCCTGATCACGTTTAGGCCGAGATTTAGTTCTTATAAACGTATCATGATATATTTCATTTTTTAAAACTGTTCAAGTGCTCTACTATATGTCACTACAAATAATCGAGTTGGAAGAAAAGTCAAATTTTCTCATCTTTCATGAGTTTTCATAATTAACATTAGATAAAGAAATGTGTTCAGTAGAAGTAAAATATTAGAGCCGCTTTAGTATGGAATCATAATTTCGTTGATATTGATGCTTCAAAATGTTGAAAAAGAAATAGCTTATGAGAACAAATAGGAAACTTTGTTCATTCCCTCATTCTTGACTTAAATAAACTGGTACAAAATTCGTTGGTTGTAAAATAATTGTTATCATTTTAGGTTATTTGATTTAAATGATAATTATTTGTTTACTTACTTACGCCTGTTACTTCTCGCGGAGGAGCATAGGCTGCTCACCACTATTTTTCCTCTAACCCTATCCTGGGCAATCCTTTCCAGTTCTTTCCAGTTGCTATTCATACTTTTCATATCTGCTTCCAATTCTCAACGCATTTTGTTCTTCGGTCTTCCACTTTTCCTTTTCACTTCAGAATGCCAATTTAGCGCTTGCCTCGTAATGCAGTTTGGTGATTTCAACAGTGTATGCTCTATCCACTTCTAAAGTTTTTTCCTAATTTCCTGCTCAGCTGAAAGCTGGTTTGTTCTCTCCCACAGAAGGCTGTTGCTGAAGGTATCCGGTCAACAAACATTGAGTATCTTGTGTAGACAACTATTCATAAATACTTGTACTTTCCTTGACGATGGTTTTAGTAGTTCTCCAAGTTTCAGTTCCGTACAGTGGAACTGCCTTGACGTTCTTATTGAAGATTCTGACTCTGATACTAGTTGAAAGTTGTTTTAAGTTCTATATGTTCTTCAATTGTAGGAATGCGGCCCTTGTTTTGCCACTCCCCGCCTTTATGTCCGCATCTGATCCTCCTTGATCATTGATGATGCTTCCCAGGCACGTGAAGGAATCTACATCTTTCAGATTTTCGCCATAAAGTGTGAGTGAGTTGGTGTTCTCTGCGTTGTATATGAGGATCTTGCTTTTTCCTTTGTGTATAATTAAGCCTGCTGATGCAGAAGCTGCTGTTACACTAGTTGTCTCCATCTGCATTTGTTCGTGTGTATGGGGTCGAAGGGCCAGGTTATCTTTGAAGTCTAAATCGTTTAGTCGCATCCAACCTGTGCATTTTATTCTGTGTTTCCCCTCAGATGTCGAGGTCTTAATAATCCAGTCAACCACAAGAAGGAAGAGAAAGTGGGGGAGTGAGAAGCTTTATCTAACACTATTCTATACTCGGAATGAATATATAAGCTGTCCTCCACACACGACCTCCAGTGTATTCTATCGTATAAATTCTTTATGATGTCGACGACTTTCTCAAGTACGCCATAGTGTCGGAGAATGTTCCATAAGGTTCTCCTATCCCTACTCTGAAACGCCTTCTCACAGTCAAGGGATTTTGTGTATGGTGACGAGTTCCACTCTACTGATTGTTCGACGCTGATCCGTAGTGTCAGGATTTGGTCTGTGCACGATTTATGCTTACGGAATCCAGTCTGTTTATATCGAAGTTGGGCGTCTACTGAGTCTTTCATCCGGTTCAGTAACACTCTGTTGAAAAACTTTTCAGGTACTGACAGTAGTGTAATGTTTCTGTAGCTCTCACATTTGCTCAAATCTCCTTTCATTAGTATCTTGAGGACGTATCCTTTCCGGTTTAACGGCACTTGTTCCTTCTCTTAAATCTTCTTGAATAGAGCGTGGGGCATGTTTGAAGTTACTTCTATGTCTGACTATAGCGATTTGGCTGGAATATTGTTACGTCCTGCTGCTTCCCCGCTCTTGATTTGTCTGATGGCCATCCTGATTTCTTCGCTCGTTGATGGGTGCCATCTATAGGAAGTTCTGTGTGTGATTGTTCAATGGAGCTGGTCTATTCAACAGTTCCTCAGTGTATTCTACTCATATGTTCCTTTGTTCTTGAAACTCGGTGATCGTCTTTTCTTATTTGTCCTTAACCGGTCTCTGGTTTACTATACTTCCCTGCGAGTTTCTTCGTTGTATCATACAGCTGTTTCATACTTCCATCACTTGCAGCTTTGTCCGTCATCGTTGCTAGTTTTTCCACGTATTTCTGCTTGTCGGCTCTAAAGCTCTTCTTCCTTTGCTTGTCTCCTTCTGTGTACTTAGCCTGTTCCTTGACTTTCTCCACTCGTGTTCGGCTGTTGCTAATTGCTGTCTTCTTGTTCTCCCTTCCTTGAATCTTGTCCATTGTTTTTTCATAGAGATCTATTCCTTATGACTATGTTACTTTCAGCCCGAGACCTCCTGACACTTTGAATTTTCTGCTTTTTTTATATCCCCCCATCTGACCTATATCGTAGTTTATTCTTCTTATAATATATCTTGTAAGGCTTGGAACTAGTTGTATCTTGAATTCATTAGATTTGTCATTGTCATGATAGAAGGCTGCATTAAAGCAATGTAACACTGTTTCCTCAGTTATCGAGTGCTTTTTTAGCTCCAGTTTCATCTTGGCTACATTCAGCTGTCACCTCCTCTAACGGTTCTGACGTCTTTCACTGCCATTATGAATTTTTCAGCGGTGCAAATATGATGTATCTGGTTCTCTGTGGTGTGATCAGATGAGGCCCATGTAGCTTTGTGCATGCGTTTGTGTGGGAATATTGTGCCACCTTTGACAGATTCTTCGAATGCATGTAGGTTTAAGAATCTCTCACCAATCTCGTTTCTCTCTCCCAGTTCATGTCGTCCCATGATATCTCCATATCCGGTGTTGTCTATCCCGACTTTGGCATCTAGATCTCCTATCAGGATGATGAGGTCATTTCATGGGCACTTCGCTATGACCGATTGCAGCCTCTCATAGAACTGATGTTTATCGTTTTTGTTGGATTGATTGTTGGGTACATAACGTTAAATAAGATTCATCGTGATTGCCTCCTAGTTTGTTTTGAAGGATGCTTTGACGATTCTTGATCCGTGAGATTCCCATGCTACAAGTGCATCTCGTGCTACTTTGGACAGCATTAGAGCAACTCCTTGAGTGTATGGTGCATTTTCCTCTTCGTGACTGGAGTACAGCAGCATCTCTCCCGTACCTAACCTTTGCTGTTCAGCTTGAGTTTAATGGGCTTCGCTGATTCTGATCTCCTCATTTCCGTTGCTATTTGACTGGTCATCCTGGTCTCCTACATCGTCCGGACGTTGCATTTACCTATAACAATTGTTGTTCCGGTTGTTAGAAGTGACACCGGCCTAGTGATTTCCGAAGAATCTCGGCTTTCATCCTGAGGTGTCATAATTCTTCCGTCGACTCCTGGGGCAGAGGTTAGATTGTTTAATCTGATTGGCATTTATTTAGTGAGATTTGGGGTTGCCGACCCCATGTCCGATCCTCCTCCTTTGCGCGGGCTTGGGACCGGCATTAGCTTTAGAAGAACTACAGACGGAATTCCAAATGATTATATTTATGAAATACTGTGTATTCATTTGACATTAATATAGATATTTTCTACAGACAGAAATATGTAATGGATAGCCCGAATTGTTTAAGAACTTGCTAAGCTTGCTCAAAGTCTAATTTAGATGAGCATTTTAATAATTGTGTAGTTTGGAAGTAAGCCTAATGTTTTAAGTAGATCATCAAAGTTTTAATGAGTAAATAACGCAGTTGTTAAGATATGGGTACGGGGTAAGAATGACAAATCAATTGATGAAGTAATGAAAATCATCATTTGAGATGGCTGAGACACGTGTTACGTATGCCCAACCACCGACTGCCTCGACGCACGATGCTCAATGGTATAGGAGTAGGTTGGTAGAAAGCTAAGGGCGGCCAGACCAAAACATGGCACAAATCCATGAAGTCACTAACAGATGGACTGAGCCATGTTGGTAGGTGTAGACTACCTGGTTGGGATCCGCGAGATGATAGCAACCGATGGTTAGAGACCTTGAATGACATGGCTCAAAATCGTTTGCAATGGTGCGAGCAGGTGCATCCACTCTTTGAGTTCTCCCAAATTCTGATCTCCTGAATTCGTCATGTCTCTGTTTTCCTCTTTCCAAATTTATTTCACTGTATTATTCTCCTTGAATAACATCTTTAAACCCTAATCTTTTCGATTACTGCTTATACTCTTACCGTCTCTACCACCACGGGATTTGAATCGACAACTGCATCTCTGTGCTAATGTGCTGTGGCAACTCGAACTGATGTACGTACGTACGAAGTTCTACGTTTTTACTGACTGATTGGTTAAAGTTTTAATAGTCAAATTTACTTATTAATAAAATAAAATTACAACTACACTCTAAATAAAAATAAGCCCAAGTCAAGGATAGGAAGAAGAACAATGGGTTTATAGCGGTTTTTTGTGCAGATGTAAATGGCAATAAAAATTGGTAGTAATATTTTAATGTCAATGAAAACGAAAGTGTAGCAACTTAGAAGAGTAGTGGATTTACGAATAATTCATATTCAACGAGTTGTATTATTTTATTGTAGAAATAGGATTTCTAAACTTATGACTTAAAACTAAGAGTAGATGAAACTAGTTTCAAGCGAAAACATTGACTCTCATATTTTAAGACTAATCATACCTGCAGATTTTATATATGCACATATTCTTTAGTACATGATGATATTTATAAAGGTTTTCATAGAATATTAATGCTGTCTTACAACTTTTATTGTGAGGAATAATCTTACTTGATATAGAATCTCTTTGATACAGAGGTCTTGGTTGTTGATAAAACAATATAATCAATAATTTTATCGTCACATGGCTTGAAATATTATGAAAAGCCCTAATAAGGCAACTGTCATAGTGTAGTGTAAAAAATTTAAAGTCTGTGTCTTTTATGGCATTAGGCAATAGCATTTACTATTTATAGTGAGTATGGGGATTTGTGGAGATTGAAGTGTTTTCACAGTTGAATTCATGAGTCATTTCAACCTAGACCTCTATTGAAAACCTGAAAGCAATGAACGGTCGTTTCGTTCTAGTAAGGGACTACTCAGTGGTGCGCATTCACGATCCCAAACTCGCAGCTCGAACCTAGAACACTCGGTTTCGGACGCGAACGCTAAATATCTGAACCACTGAGCCCGCATCCAATAATGTAAATGTCTAACTTCAATCAATCCATGGTCTTTCACAACCTTTCATCTATTGGTTGTGATGAATAACTGCCTCACACGCGGTATGGATTGAACTTGATTGTGTACGGTCTCTGATTACCATTCCTGAAGTTACATCCTCATGCTAGTCACTCGTGAGCACACAATCATTGTCAGTATGGGAATTTATGGAGATTGTTGTTCTTTCTCAGTGGTTTGGAGTTTAAGCGCTTGCGCACGAGATCGATAGTCCTGAGTTTGAGTTCTGCGTGCAGGATCGTAAATGTACACTACGGAGGAGTCCAAAACGTAACTGTCATTCGGTTATTCCGAGTATTCATTGGTGGTCTTGTATAGATCAACTAATGAATTAAAGTCAGGTTTAGGCAGTGGCTAATGGTTTCGACTCATTCGTCAATCAAAAAAGCATTCAGTCAGTAATTTGAGAGTTCATAGTTTTAAATTAGTTTTGGCTTCCAATTTTTTTACATTTGACTTTTTTCGTCAGATAATTAGTTTTACCATATGAATTTATTACTTATTTATTTGAACACATAAATATTGGTACAAAGGGGCAACGAATACATATGCGCTACAAAAAGCACTTGATTTGTGTGTAAGTTGTGATACTGCCAGGGTGCCCAGACTGAAGCAGATGGTGTTCGTAAGGGGCCATACCAGGAGCCTTCGACCTAAAATTCTGATCCATAAGGCAGTGGAGCAACGCCAGGAGATGCAGTCCCATGGTAGCCGGTGACCAATGATTGGTTCATACGCCATTTGTTCCCTTAGTATCCTGGAGCCCATGTGCACCAATGGTCTAGAATCATGGTTTTCCAACTCCTCTAGGTGGATCATCCATATCCACCAACCCAGTTAAAGCGTCGGACACTCGCTTTTCTTCTTCTGAATTTGGTAAAAAAACACCCCTGATGCGAGGAAGCAATGAGCAGGACTTCTCTGACAGTGGCTGTATGCGCATTGCCATGGGGGAGCAGTACCAGGACAGCTTTTGAAAGGATTAAGTTAATTTCGATCTTTAAATGAAACCAGTCTTTCTAAACTGAACTATATTAAGTTGATATATATATATATATATATATATATATATATATATATATATATATATATATATATATATATATATATATATATATATATATATATATATATATATATATATATATATGTAATTCAAATGGTCAGAGTATCTAATAAATGCTTGAATTTCAAATATTTTAAACCACTATCTATGAAATAAGTGAGTATGCAAGATCAAGGATAATTAACTATAAATTGTTCTCATTTTTAATAAGGAATAGTTTATCCGTCTATGATTTTAATTGTAACATAGAATATTTTTCATTCTCATTTAGTTTTTTTATTTTTCAAACGATAGTTCACAATACTAATATGAATAGTTCTTGATCTTTTGTTATGTCTATCTTTCATAAGTCTATTATTTTTGTTATAATTTAGTTTTATAGTAACAAACTTAGCCTGAAGTCAATAAATTGAAATTAATCAAGAGAAATCATGGGTATATATATATATATATATATATATATATAGTTTCTTTCTTTTACGGTTAAAATATCTGATCATGGTATGATAAAAGTATAGAAATAGTTGATGTGATTAAGCTAAATTTGTTTGTTATTTAATACTTGAACAATAAACTACTTTTAGATCTCTAATGTTTACTTTATATGTTAATTAAGTTTTTATACAATGCATTTTAAGTAGAGTATCTAAGGCATAATGTTGATTATTTGACAATGAAAAAAGATCATCTTGATATGGCATGTTTTCAAAACTAGATTATTCTAAATTAAATTAAACAACTATGGATTAAGAAATTAAATTTATGTTTGTTTGTTTGTTGTTACTTCATCCAAATGTTTATTTTATTTTATTTATAGGAACTAATTAAATTGTTTGATATCAATGGTGATGGTTTGATAAGTTTTGGCGAATATAAATTGATATTGGGATTGACAGGTCAATCAATCGATGGGTAAGTCAAATGATCACCTAAAACTGTAATCATTCTGATGTTATATATAGTCACAGGTATTTTTTTTCTTTTGAACACTGAAAATGATGCACACTAATATAAACTTAAGTCATTGAGTTACGCCAACACGGTTACACTGATTTCAGTAAAAGTTTTTTTTAATTATGTAGACTGATAAAATTTCGTAAGTAAAATACATTTCAAAGCTACTGAATATCAAATCACAACTAAATAATTTTCATTGTTTTATATCAGCCTAAACATTTCTATGCATGGGAAATGATCTAATAGTTGAACACGAAGAAGATCATACCCATAAAATTTAACTTGTTAGAATATAGTGTTGTTCACAGTTCGTTAAACATCCTATACAAAGTACAATATTACATTAACTTGATTCCTAATATTTAGAACTGTTTTAATAGCTCTTTGGACTAACAAATTATACTTATTTAAATAGTTGGTCTTGTGAATACATCACATTTTTATGAAGATTCATGTTTATTGAATTTTTTTAGAATAGGCTAGTTAATGATATGCTGAATGAAACGTGATTGTAGCCTTAATTGTTAGATAACAGCACAATTATAGATGACTATATTTTGTCATATTTCTACAGATGACTGGTAAAAATAACAAAGCCAAATAGCTATTTAGAAGTGTGAATCTTGGTAAAAAATTTACACACAATGTCATAAGACTAAACGTAAAGTCACACAATCAGTCATTAAGAAGACAGTCAAATTGCTCAAGAATAAACCTAGACTTGCAAATAAGTTTTAAGAAGAGAATTGCTTATTTAAAAAAATCAAAATTTTAGCAAAATGTGTCAGTCTGCTAATCACATCAACAAAAATGATGTATCTTAAATTGAAGGAGCCCATATGTTTGACAAGAATATGATATTTGCATGACAGCAAATAACTAGAATTGTAGTTGTCAAGTTCATTAGTTTGGTTGTTCTTTTGTTGAACTCTAATTTAAGAACGTAATACAAATCACCAACTCATTTCAAGCAGAGAAGAAGAAAATGATATGCGGAGTACCAAAATTGTTTTCTTCTAGGCTTCAAATCAGCTACACATAGACTGAAGTAAAAAAAGAAGCAACAGTTTGCATATCTTACCCAGAAATGTTGGGGTGAATGCAATAAATAAGGATACCAACTAGATTTTGACTATATATTAAATATCTTGAAATAACGTTTTAACAGTTGTAATCCCCTTTAATACATAAATATTTAACAGCAGATTCAAATTAAAGCCATTCAATGAACTAATAATATCTGAAGTGTTTTAGGTGATCTGTGACTTTAAAAACTACGATAAAACACTTTAAATTAGGTGTATTTATTTTTTCTAGTCAAAGCTAAAAAAAATGGTTCGAGGTTTATTACATTTGTATTATTCTCAAATATATCTATAATATTCTCAAATGTTACTCTAGTGATGAGATAATTTATCTTATTAGGAAAACATTCTTAATATATTTTATGGAATAAAGTTAGTTTAAAGCAACCTTTTATGACATTATGTATAATACCATGTTTCAGTGCAAATATTGAAGAGACTCTACGAAAACTGTACTTGTTTCATTCTAAGTCATAAATCGGTATCAAATGCAAAACACAACAGCATCGATTAGCTTCATTTTAATAATGCATAAACTATAAATACAGTTTGACGGAAACCAGTCAAATATTTTTTTTCATTTCAGTTGGAAACGTTTATTTCGAAAATTGGATAAAGATGGTTCAGGTACTTTGGATTTTCATGAAATCTGTTCACTATTTGGTGGGGATAATTCTTCTGAAGTGAGAAAATCTGTTCGAAATTACATGAAACGATATGATACTGATCGAGATGGACGACTTAATATTAGAGAATTTTTAACATTTGTTGCTGAACAAGCTGAACATAGTGCAGTATAATAAACAAACAGAAAAGAATTATGTATTGAAAAATAACAGAGATTACATTTGTACAGAAATATTGATAACTTCCCCTTAGTATAAACAAATAAATGATCACTAAAATTTAAGCTAAAATAAGTAACCCGTTCTGTTTGTTTTCTGATATATTGGTTATATATTCATTTTTTTCAGAAATCAAATAAATTCATTTCACCGAGTTAGAATTTTCGCAAGAGAATATATATGATGTCAGAATAACTCACTTCCAAATCTAACCTTTATTCAAATCTGAACCGTCTTCTTAAGTTGTAGTATACTTACTTACTTATACCTGCTATCCCGCGTGGAGGGAGCACCGGCTACCCATCAGTATTCTCCAAGCAACTTTGTCATGGGCAATCCTTTCCTGTTGTTTACAGTTGCTGTTCATTTTTTTGATATCTGCTTCAAATCCTTGAGGCAATGTGTTCGTCGGTCTTCCTTTTTTCCGCTTCCTTTCAGGATTCCAAGTTAAGACTTTCCTCGTGATTCAGTTTGATGATTTACGAAATGTGTATACTTTCCACACTTACAGCAGGTTGGTTTTGATGGAATCTGGCCAGCAGACATCGGGTATCTTGTGTAGACAATTGTTTATAAATAATTGTACCATTTTGATGATGGTTGTGGTAGTTCTCCAAGTTTTAGTTCCATAAAGTAAAATTGTCTTGACGTACGTATTGCAGATTGTAACTTGGATATTGGTTGACAGTTGTTTTGGGTTCGATATGTTCTTCAAATATAGGGATGCTGTCCTTGCTTTTCCAATCCTCGCATTTAAGTTTACATCGGGTCCTCCTTGTTTATCGATGATGCTACCCAGTTATGTGGAGGATTTTACCCCTTTCCAGAGCATTGCAATCAAATGTTTGCTTTCTTCTTTGCTTCTGTGTATTCGGTATGTCTATTGGGTTTCTCCGTTCTTGTTCAGCTGTTATTAATTGCTGTCTTCTTGCTCTTCCCTTCCTGAATCCTGCACTGGATATCAATATTCATTCATTCCTTATGGTGATGCTTATTGCGACACAGAAATTCCTGACACGTTGGACTTAGTGCTTCTTTGATCCCTTTCCATTTGTCCTCCATTTTATTTTCCCCTTCTTTGAGTAGATCTTGTTAGGCTTGGAACCTGTTGTTGAGAACTACCTTGAATTCAGCGAGTTTTTCATTGTCGTGATAGAAAGCTGCATTAAACCCATGTAATGCTGTTTCCCCAGTTGTCCAATGCTTCTACAGCTGTGGTGTGAGACCCATATCGATTTGTGCATGCGTTTGTGTGGGAATATTGTGCCACCTTTGACAGATTCTTCGAATGCATGTAGGTTTAAGAATCTCTCACCAATCTCGTTTCTCTCTCCCAGTTCATGTCGTCCCATGATATCTCCATATCCGGTGTTGTCTATCCCGACTTTGGCATCTAGATCTCCTATCAGGATGATGAGGTCATTTCATGGGCACTTCGCTATGACCGATTGCAGCCTCTCATAGAACTGATGTTTATCGTTTTTGTTGGATTGATTGTTGGGTACATAACGTTAAATAAGATTCATCGTGATTGCCTCCTAGTTTGTTTTGAAGGATGCTTTGACGATTCTTGATCCGTGAGATTCCCATGCTACAAGTGCATCTCGTGCTACTTTGGACAGCATTAGAGCAACTCCTTGAGTGTATGGTGCATTTTCCTCTTCGTGACTGGAGTACAGCAGCATCTCATCCGAATCTACCCAGGTCGGGTCCAATAGATTTCACTGATTCTGAGAACCGCCAAGTCGTATCTCCTCGTTTTAGTTGCTGTTTAACTGGTCTCACGTCCAACCGCCCATCTTTACCCGGGCTTGGAAACGGCAACAACCCTGAAGTGGCCAGAGGAGTAGTTTAAATGAAATATAATCTAAACAAATATATAAATAAAAAATGTTCCGATATGTACATAATTTATTTACATTAAATTACGTTGAGCATTGATCGGTCGATTCATAATGGATCGATAAGTGACCGTTAAGTAATTGAATATTACCTACTTGTTTAAAATTTTTTCATTCTTTTTGTTTCCTGATAAAATTGATCAGTATCGCAGATTAACGTGTATAGTCACTATGCTGATAAGATAATGATGATTTCTAGTGTTAATCTAAATGTTAAGTATTAATTAATAACACCGTTGATATTTTGTTATTTCAACAGAAATCCAAGTTTGACTAAACATAAATACATTAAATTTCATTCATGTCATCATTTTTTTTGAATACATTGGTTCTTTTCTTCTTAAGTTCTAATATAACAAATGTTGAACAATAAGTTAATCTTATTAGGTTGTTATGGATTCTGGATTGTAAGTAAAATTAGTACATAATATTGTAAGGAGTAAAAGTTGAACTGAGTACATTTTTTCCAGTTGAGTAATGTTTATTGATTTACGAATCTCATAGAATAAAAAATCCTAATGAATAAAATTCATTTTCTACTTACGAGTTGAACAGTATGCAAAATTGTATCAGTATGGAGCTCAACAAAGTAGCCTAGTGATGCTTAAAATGATAGTTAGAGCTTAACACGGCCAAATGTGGATGAATATACTTTGGTAACATATCGCTCAACTTAGATCTTGTCATAAATGGTAAGGCGTTATCTAAGTTGCATACATTATTGTACTTAGAACTTAGGTACTCCTACAATTTTTCCTTCACAGAAAAGGTTTCGAAAGTGATTTCTAAGTCCCATCGTCATATGGGTTGCATAATTCGTAATCTTTATAACAAAAAGTCACTTATTTTGATGTACAAAGTATATATTCAACCAATCCTAGAATACTGCACGTTTATTCTTGGTAGTGTTTGCACAAATGATAGATTAAGGTCTGAATCCGTTCAGAGACGATTTACATTTTGCATTCTTGGGACTAATTGTATCTTAAATTATAAGTCCAGATGTAAGAAACGTGAACTAGATTTTTTCTGGAAGAGGTAACCCAAAGTAAACCTAATATTTTTCTTAAAAATAATTAATCAGTTGTCTTTTACATCCTGTGAAGTAATTCAATATTCAGAAATTCCTAGTTATAACATCTGTAACTCTTTGTCATTTGTAAAACAACCAAATTCCAGATCTTCATGTATGAACTAATTTAGCAGGAAGTGTTCCAGACTCTGGAACAATTTACTACAATCCATCCGTGAGATAAAACCGCATCCTTTGTTCGCTGTATTGATGCTCACCTCTTCTCTAAAAATGCTTTAAGTACTCACACACCTGTAAATGTGTCTTATTTTACAAGTGAGATTATGAGAATTTCAAATGTTTAAACATTTTTATTGCTAAATTCACTAAGTAAACCTCCCAACCTGCTGTTACTTTACATTAACACCGTTCTGAAATAATTTGAGTAATATTTAACACGAACAGTACATTATAAAGTAGCCTGACATATGTATTATGGTATACCTGACTGACCTATCGTAGTTATTATTGCTCTGTTGTTCCATGCATTCTGTTTCTGTCTTATTTTCTCTAGTTGTAGATAGTTACAATGAATTCTTTGTGGCACAGGAAATGACCATATATGCATCGTTCATACATCAACAGGATGTCAACTTAAAAGGAATTAAAAGTTCCAGGCTGATGCTTTTCATTGTTGTAATATGAGTGAAAAATTTACTATCTAATCAAATTTTGAACTCGATTACTTCAAACAGTCTGATATCATATGTGTGTTCCCTACATTTAATATCACTATCTACATCAAGCTGATCATGCCCGTAAACAGGCATGAATCCTGTAATAATTATTTTCGGAATACATAATAATAATTATTATTACTATTACCTCACAACATCCAACAAAGAAAAAGTAGCAGACAATGCAAAAGAAATAATACAGAGCAGTTTGAAAGCATATATAGTTATAATTTACAAAATGATCAGTTATTTATTCGAAAATAAAACATGCTTAGTCAGGCGTACTGATCATATTTTATATAAAGCAAAGTAGTTTACTCTCAAAATGATCATTTATGTTGTCTTTCTAAAAAAACTTATCTTATTCTATAGTTGACACTATTTGTAATAAAATCTGTATTCATAAATACTGCAGGACACTTAAAAAATATATCCATTGTTAATCATGATGTTTATACATGTTTCCATAAAAAATAATCTGTTTTGCATCTGGACGTCAATGGACTGTATAATGAAAGAAACTGAAAAAAAGCAATGTTGGTTATTAAAAGTAATGAATGCCGCCTTGGTGATCTAGAGGGTAGGTGTCCGCGCACGAGACCGAAAAACGTGGGTTCGAGTCCCTCATGCGGGATCGTGGGTGCACACTGCTGAGGAGTCGTATACTAGGACGGAGTGACCATTCAGTTCTTCCAGGAATTCAGTGGTGGTGAAGCTTGCATCGACTCATGAATTTCACTATGTATAAAATGACTATAATTCCATAACATGAAACAAATTCAATGATCAATAATTTATAGAGGTGACAAAATTAAGTTTTGTTAATCAATGCGTATGATAAATTTCAGATGACGTTGTCGCGTTTATGTTTTTTTCACATCTGATTGGCCAGTGGTTAGCAGTGAACACAGAAAACAAACTGAATTAAATATCATTTTTTGTCTTCTCCAGCTGTAATCGCTCAAGTGGTTGATATATAATTTGCCAAAACTCAACTGTCACATTCTCTAACTATTTCTTCTATACGAACATTTGACAGGAGAACTAGTTTAGGTTGAGTGATAGATATAACATATTGATTCATTTCAATAGTATTTTTTATGGAAGTTACAAAAACTAATACTTAAATACCGAAGGTTTAACAGTTGTATAAGTTAGTATAGTTGTCTGCACCATGTTTCAGGCATTTTAGTTAGTCTCACTGAGTAGCGTTGGGTACTCGGTGATTGAGTTATAGTGATTATTTGATTTTAACACTTAGTTTATTAGCAGGAGGGTTTTATGAAAATAATACGTTGTATTTGTCACAAAGTGATCTCGATAGGCATATCAATTAAAGCCAACGAGAGCTGGACAACTATTTTGCCCTGCTTTAGAGCTCATTTTTGTACCCA